AAGAGTTTTTTTAATTATTTAAATTATTAGATAGTACAAGTTTTTTAATAAAGTAATAACAGAGATGATAAAAATTTAGAATTATTGACGTAATTTGTATTAAGTTATTACATTGGTTAATATATATAATATATAATATTTTAAAAAATAAATTATTAAATAATATAATATTTATTTTTTAATATTTCAAATTATATGATTTATATGACGTTATTAATTTTTAATTATAATTTCAACTTTTGGTTACATTAATTTAACATTATTCTTTTTGATATTAATAATTGTTTTTTATACACTGATCTATATTAAGGATTTTTTTTTAATAATTTGTATTTCATAATTTAATATAATTTAAATAATAAAATGCAAAATCCTTTGTTTGACCAATATACTTTCAGATTTCACTCAGACCCTCCGTTCCCTACCACCACCACCTTGCACATAAACAATTTCCTCAGAATTTTCCGGAACTTTGACATATTTCAAAATTTTATTATTTCAAAATTTAATCATTTCAAATATTTTAAATGAATGAACTAATTTTTAATGCAATTTTCTTATGGAATAAAATAACAATGTTTTATTCACAATGTTTGTTTGTTTGTGGATGGTAAATTCTTACCCTGCCACTAGATATCTCATAGCCTGCCTTTGTTTTAAACAATACCAAGATTTAAAACGTTTATATTTGTGTTTAATACTTTCAATAAATTATGTAATTGTTAAGAAACAGATATTCCTAAGTTTTTGAGATAATTTATAATTTTTCATTTAATGTATTATAATATTGTAAATTAACAATCATGATATATCATCTTATGACTAAAATTTTTACTCAAAAATTTATATGTAATATGGTATATAATATTATGTGATATTATAACTATAATATTATTATTTTACCATATACTCCTTTTATTCTAATTTACTTATCTGACTTTATTTCTATGATTTGAGTGAAAAAAATAAACCATAACAAATTGGAGTTGAGTAGTAGAAAAAGGAACCATTGAAATGGAAGGCCACAAATAGGAATAACCCCACTTTCACCTCCTTTCAAGCCACAAGCTTTCTTTTTAGACGAACAAATATATAATACCTTGTGGTTAGTATTGGACCTATTGGTAATAGAAACAAGCCTTAACAAATTGGATTTGAGTAGAAGAAACTATTGAAAAGGATGGGCACATATAGGAATGGATTTGAGGAAATTTTGTTGATCTTTTAGCAAAAATTGCAGATACGGAGAACGATGAATCTATTAAATGAGATACTTTTGAAATTCTTTAGGGAAGAAAAATAATTAAAAAACAAAAATTATGGGAAGGTTTGCAAAATAAAAGGTAATAATATTTAAGAGGTTATTAATTATAATGGGTAGATTTGTCCAAACAAAATTAAAGATGTGGCAATAACAATTTATGGTGTGGCAATAATCTTACTTTAGTTTTTGGCTTAATTTTTGTCTTAACCAAAGTTAAAGGATTTTTTTTAACTTGTACATATAATAAATAAATATATATTTTTTATAAATTTGTGTTAGAAAAAATTAAAACTGACTTTTAATTTATTATTTATTCAATTAGTTTTATCTACATAATAACAATACAAAAAATTAATAATTCTAAAAATTAAATCTACTGATTAACAAGTGTTATATAAGTCTAAAATTCAAGTCTT